TGTTTATTTTTGAGAGAGAGTGCGTGTATGCCCACGTGAGCTGGGGAGGGGCAGAGAGCAAAGGAGAGAGAGAATCCTAAGCAGGCTCTGAGTTGTCAGTGCAGTGCAGAGCTCAGACTCATGGGGCTTGATCTCATGAACCATGAGATCATGACCTGAGCCAAAATCAGGAGTTGTTGTTTAATTGACTGAGCCACCCAGGTACCCCTAAAGATTTTATAAGTAATCTCTGCATTCAACACAGGGGCTCAACCTCACAACCCTGAGATCAAGAGTCACACAGTCCACTGACTGGGCCAGCCACGTACCCCACCAGATAGGGATTTTATGGAATTCTTTCAGAATGTTAACGAGTTGTCCTAGCACCAGATTATTATATCATCATATTTGAATTAATGTATTATTAACATGGTGAATTAAATTAAAAATTAATGGTGGGGCCCCTGGGTGGCTCAGTCAGTTAAGCATCTGACTGCAGCTCAGGTCATGATCTCACAGTTTGCAAGCCCTACATCAGACTTTGTGCTGACAGCTCGGAGCCTGGAGCCTGCTTCAGATTCTGTGTCTCCCTCTCTCTCTCCCTCCCCCACTTGCACTCTGTCTCTCTCTAAAAAATAAAACATTAAAAAAAATTTTTTTATTAAAAATGGTGAATTAAATTGTCACCTTTGTCATATAATAAATATTGGGGTTTGTTTCTGTATCCTTTATCCTCTTTTAGTGCTCATTGTGTCTGTTCTTACTCCAGTGATGCGTTGACTTGATCACAGTGGCTTTCATAATATGGTCCAATATAAGACAAACCTGTTGCAAATTTTTCAGTCTTTTTGCTATTTTTGGCATTTACTCTTCTGTATAAAGTTTATGATTGATCATTTTATCTAATTTTTGGAAAACTGATAATTTTAAAAAAAAATTTTTTTTAACGTTTATTTATTTTTGAGACAGAGAGCATGAACAGGGGAGGGGCAGAGAGAGAGGGAGACACAGAATCGGAAACAGGCTCCAGGCTCTGAGCTGTCAGCACAGAGCCCGACGCGGGGCTCGAACTCACGGACCGTGAGATCATGACCTGAGCCGAAGTCGGACGCTTAACTGACCAAGCCACCCAGGCGCCCCGGAAAACTGATAATTTTAATTAGAATTACATTAAATTGATTAGTTTAAGAGAACTGACTTTTTTTTTGAGAATTGACTTTTTTAAAAGTATTCCCTCCACCCAAGATTTGGTATTTCTTTTCATGTTTTTAAATCTCTTTTTATGTCCGTCAACAAGGTTTTCGTGTTGTTTACATAGGTCTTATACTTTTCTTGTTGAATATATTCCTAAGTGTTCCATAGTTTTTATAAGCATTTCTAGATACTTCTGGATACACTAAAGAAAAGCTATTGGTTTATGTTCATCTATCTTGTATGCAGCTACCATGCTAAATACTACTACTAGCATTTTTTTTTTTTTTTTACTGAGTCTTTTAAGTTTTCTAGGTATACAGTTATATCATCAGTGCAAAATCATAGCTTTCTCTTTCTTTCCAATTTTATGCCATTGTGTTCTTATCTAATTGTAACCTGTTTGACCCTACTGTAAACTACTATTTTCATAAATGCAGGGGTTTTAATATTTCTTTGTTTAGGTTAATGTTAACAGCTAGGTTTTGGTAATAGCTTTCAATATATGTATGTAGTTTCTAGTCTCTATTTCACTTTTTGGTGTTTTTTTGTTTGTTTGTTTTTAATAAATTGCTGCTGGATTTTATCAAATGCCTTTTCAGCATCTCATACTATGGCTTTCTCCTTCAATTTTGACTTTTGTTTATAGAGTATCTGATGTTGAACAATCCTTATATTTATGGGGTAAACCTACTTGTTTATTGTGATGCATTTCTAGTTTCTCATTGCTAATTTTTTTCCATTTTAAAATTGAGATATACTTCATATGCCATAAAGTTCACCCACTTAAATCAAAACCACACTCAGATATCACCTTACGCCAGTCAGAGTGGCTAAAATGAACAAATCAGGAGACTATAGATGCTGGCGAGGATGTGGAGAAACGGGAACCCTCTTGCACTCTTGGTGGGAATGCAAACTGGTGCAGCCATTCTGGAAAACAGTGTGGAGGTTTCTCAAAAAATTAAAATTAGACCTACCCTATGACCCAGCAATAGCACTGCTAGGAATTTACCCAAGGGATACAGGAGTGCTGATGCATAGGGGCACTTGTACCCCAATGTTTAGAGCAGCACTCTCAACAATAGCCAAATTATGGAAAGAGCCTAAATGTCCATCAACTGACA